ACATATATATATATATATATATATATATATATATAAAATTTGATATAGTATAATTTCCCACAAAAAGATCCTAAGAAACAATATCTCTAGAATAAACACGTTTCCTTTTTTCTCCTCATACACACACACACACACACGAAACTGTGCAATATAACTGGCATAGAAAGCATGACTATTGTGTTTATTAATATAAAATGGGAAGCATAGTACATGTAAATAACTTAAATCTTTCCCCAACTAGCAAAGTAATGTTTCTGCTTTAAAAATTAAATTCAAGAACATATAAAAGAAAAAAAAAATCACCCATAATCTCACTATGGGTTGGCTTCTCTTAATATGCTAGCAGACTACTTTATAATCATTTACTAGTACTCCCTGTTCCCATACTAGGTTGCCTTATTTCGGCCTCAACATAATACAAAAGACAAAGAGATAATGATTTCTGATGCTTAAATATTCAAGAAGTAAATTTAACCAAAAATATCAATCACAAAGATATTCCAAAAAGAAAACTATTTCACAGCAGTACTTGGATAGTATTAATAATAAACCATTAGTTAGTTATTTCTAGCTGTTTCTACCAAGAAGTCTTGAACCAAACTGATTCTGGCAGAATTATCTCATTTTTTCAAACGGCTTATTGTTAAAAATAGCTATAAACCAAATCACTCCTTTTATAAATTTAAGATATGGCTAGGTATTGGGAAACACTACTGAAAACTTAAAAAAAAAATTAACTAAATGTGGTTAAAACAGGAAAACAGTGGTTTAGTCCTTAATTTCAACTAGTCTTAAAAGGATTATGATTTTTCTGACAAACCCAATATTCATAAGGAGCAGGTTTTAAACAAGGTCCTCAGAAAAAGTAAATGTTTCATGTAAAACATGAAATCCAGTTCTACCTTTTTTATTATTATTAAATAAAAAGTCTGAGTACTTCTAATAGTTTTTTTTTCAATTTTACTGTGATTTGGGTGAAAGTTTACAAAGCAAATTCATCTTCCATACAGCAGTTCACATACACTATCTCATGACATTGACTGCAATCTCCCACAGCGCAACAGCTCTCCTCCCACTTCCTCCCCATAGCCACCTCCTCCCTGTGTCCTTCCCTCCCTTGCACTGCTGCCCCAGCCGTCTCCCTGTGCATATACAGCCCTTCTATTCTCCCATGATTAATCTCTCCAAGGAGTCTATCTAGCTAATGTAAATGTTCAGCTCATATGCCTGTCTTTTGTTTGGCTGGAAGCCACAGGAGTGGGTTTAATTCCAGACCTGAAGGGCAGCTAGGGGCCATAGTCTCAGGGGTTCCACCAGGCTCTATTAGACCACAGACCTGGTCTCACTCTTTTTTTTTATGATGTTTTGTTCCACATTGTTCTCCCACTCTATCCAGGATCTCCTACATAGATCCCCCTCTGAGTGGTTGACAGTGGTAGCCAGTTATCATCTAGTTCTTCTGGTCTCATAGTCATATAGGCTGAGGACTGCATGGTTTATCAGTCCCTTGGACTGTTTCCACGTGTCTTTAGTTTTCTTCATTATTCTTTGCTATGGATGAGGAGAGACCCATTGTTGCATCTAAATGGCCGCTTGCAAGCCTTTAAGATCCTAGTTGCTACTCGCCAAGCTAGGATGTGGAACAATGTTTTTGTGTATTATGTTACACCAACTGAGCTTGATATTCCCTGCGACCATGGTCCCGAGCCCACAGGTCCAACTACTTGCTCCTTCTGGGTAACTGGCTGTGGCCAAGAAGTGACTACAACCTTGTCCTTGTCAGCTCTACTATGTACCTGGAATTCTAATAGTTCATATATATAGATTTCTAATAGCTGTGTTGGGAGCTCTGGTAGCATAGTGCCTAAGGCACTTGACTGCTAACCAGGTGGCTGGTGGTTCAAACCCACCAGCCACTCCTCGGAAGGAAGGTTGGGCAATCCTACTTCCGTAGTGATAACTGCCTTGGAAACCCAAGGAGGGGTCGCTAGGAGTCGGGGCCGACTCTATGGCAAATAACAACAATAACAACAACAACAATAGCTGTGTGTGTGTGTGTGTGTGTGTGTGAGTGAGAGAGAGAGAGAGAGTGTGTGTGTGTGTGTGTGTGTGTGAGTGAGAGTGAGTGAGTTAAGGTTGTTTGTCAACTTCGGTGGGCCTGGTTTTGAGTGGCTGGGCAGCTGGATATAGTTATTCTCCATGGTCACACTGGCAGTCATCTTCATGATGCAAACTACTGGAACAGCAGAGTAGCTGCTTTAGGGATGTGGGCTGTTTCCAGGATATAAGCAGCAGCTTTGAGCAGGTCTCTAGCTTTTTGGCACACTTGAACCCTGCATGTAGCCAAGTAGTTCAGCAGCCTGCCATGCCCTGCCAATCTTGGGACTTTTTCTGGACTTGAATTAGTAGCCTTCTGTATTGTTTGGAAATACTGGGACTATGCCTTTTTACTTGTTGACCTTGGGTTTGTCAGCCTCAACAGCCAGCAGCTGCCTGAATGAAGAAAAGCCTTCAGCTTCAGTGGGCTGGGAGCAGGAGGCAGAGTTAAGTCCAAGCTGAGGGGCTTTCAGCCAGTCCTGAGACCTGGCACTTTGAACTCAGACTTCTAGCTTCCAAAACTGTAAGAGAATAAACTCTTATTTGTTCAAGCCATCCTATTTGTGGTATTTTCTGTTAGAGTAGCACTGTTGTTGTTGTTATGTGCTGTTGAGTTGGGCCCAACTCATAGCGACCCCACCTTGGATTTCCAAGGCAGTACCACTACAGAAATAGACTGCCCAACCTTCCTTCCGAGGAGTGGCTCGTGGGTTTGAACTGCCAGCCTTGTGGTTAGCTAGGTAACCAAAACAGTGTCTATTTATTTCTATATAATAAATAATAAGATCTATAGCACTACATTTCAGAAGATTTGGTTTAACCTTTCACCTGCCAGTTGGTCTTCCTGGCACAGATACAAAGGTATCTCCTCCTTGGTCAGTAAGTGAAGAATCCTAGGGAAGCTGAGCTCCATTCTCCAGGATGGTTAACAGAAAGGCTTCTCTTACAGTCATTTGTTATCCCCTTTAAAAATTATCTGCATAAGCATCATAAGCAACATGCCCTCCCCAACCACCAGTAGTTAACTTTATCTAATGAAAAACTACTTGTAACCAATCATTTAAATGACTGCAAAATACGTCAGCATATGTAAATCATACTTTACTGAATTTTTCTCCTTTTGTTAGGCATCAAGCTTTTTAAATTTTCAATGCCTGTTATGGTTACCTAGTGCTGCTCTGACAAGAAATATACCACAAATGGGATGGCCTTGACAAACAGGAGTTTATTCCTACAATTTGGAGGCTTTAAGTCCAAGTTCAAAGTGCCAGGCTCTAGGGGCTGGGTGAAAGCCCCTCAACCTTGGGGTCCAGCTTGGCCTCCTGTTCCCAGCCCACTGGAGCTAGAGGCATTTCCTCACTCAGACAGCTGCTAAGGCTGAGAAGCCCCAAGGTTGACAAGTAAAAAGGCACAGTCCCAATGTTACCAAACCACATGGCAGGCCATTAACTTAAGTCCACTGTAAGTTCCAAGGTTGGCAGAGCATGGCAGCCTGCTGAGCAATGACACGGCTACATGCAGGGTCCAAGCATGCCATAGGCTAGAGACTATCTCCAAGGCTTCTCCTTATATACAGGAAGCAGACCACATTCCAAAGGCAGCTACCCAGCTGCTTGTGGTAAATCCCACCATGGTTGACTGCCAGTCTCATCATGGGGAATAACTATCACCAGCTGCCCAGCCACTCAACCAGGCCCAGCCAAGTTGACACACAAACATAACTACCACAATGCCTAAGGCATTGTGCTAATCAGAAGGCTGGCAGTTCAAACCCACCAGCCACTCCTCGGAAGGAAAACTGGGCAAACTACTTCCATAGAGATACCGCCTTGGAAACCCAAGGAGGGGTCGCTATGAGTAGAATCAACTTGACGGCAGTGATTTATATATATTTGTGTCTATATATATATATATATATATATGAAATAATATATTAGTGAACACATTTGAATAGGACAGTATTTTTTTATGATAACAGGTAAGCCAATAATTTTTCTGCCAATAGGATCACAATATTTACAATGCCAGAAAGCTTTTTAAACAAAACAACATTTAAACATTTAAAAGATTGTTCTCTGTAGCTTCCCTCTGTATAACTGTAGCTTTTGCAAATTAATTTGGTGGCTATCTTCAAGAAGGTAGGTAAAATATGGAAAGTATTTTTTTTTTCCCTCTTGAAAAGACAAAAAAGAAACCTAACTAGCACAAATATCAAAATCCATAGCAGCTTAACAGTGTTCACTTACTATTTCTCCTAGTAGGACCACATTTTCTCCTCTGACCACAAAAATCCCTCGAGGAATATCACCGTACTTTTTGCCCACATGAATACGCTCCACAGTCTGATGTAGCACTAAGTTAGCTATGAATGTATAGGGAAGAAACAAAGATATTTAGTTCAAATGATTGGGTAAAGCTCTATAACTCAATTACAATTATTTTGAGCAGAAAAGATTTAGCTGGGTATGATCTATTTCTAATTCTGGGTAAGCTAAAATGTCAGATTCTTCCATTTCACTGAGTAAGACATCATTTAGGAGATCTTTAAACAACTGCAAACTGGAAGAGTATTTGGGATTATGTTGCATTAATGATGATTGGAATAAGTCAAGACATTTAAATCTCTATCAGTTAATTGCTAATATCAGCATGATTATAGGAAAATATAAATGAGTAGAGAATGTGAAAATGTAAAGCCTATAAACAACTGCAAAGATTAAAACTTTGGTTGTAGAAAGTAAGTTTTTCTATGTTATGTGGGTATGTGTACGTGATAAATTTACCAAAGATTTAACTTTGTTTCTGAATTTAACAGAATTCATTTAACCCAATGCAAATATCCATGGCTTATGAACCTCAATCTGTTAAGAATAATTATTTTTCTTTTTTGACTGGTGCTACTTCTCTTTTAATAAATGCAGAAATTTATGCCCTGATCATTTATAATTCTTGTTAAGTATTCAATAAATGTCAATGTGAAAAAGAAGTCCTTTGAAACAGAAGGAAACATTTATCTCTTCAGGAAAACAGAGGATGCAAAGTAAAAACTGAGATTCTTGAGGCTGATGTATGCCTATCTGGAAAATCTTGACCTTCACGTTGTAGTTCCAAAAAAGTTTCGGAAAATGCCTTTTACCAATTTTTCTTCAGTGCAGGAAGTGCTATGAAAAGCAGTCACACCCAAGCCAATGGACAAATGAGCAGCATTTTCAGTGGACTGAGTTTAGTTCTATCATTTGGCTCCCTCTAATGGGGGAAATTAAAAAAAAAAAAATCGTCCAAAATACTATATGGCATATTCTAGTGAGAACCAGTTTTAGAAATATAAGCGTATAAATATACAAAGCTTTCTGAATCATTTATTCAAAATTTAAAAAAACAATGATTTATTGACTCAAAATAGTGTTCTGTTATGCCAGATGTGATAAATTTCAACATGGAATCACACAGGCACAAAAAGTGCAATGAACAGCTATTATTGTCCGGAGTGTAAGAGAAGTGGAAGTTCATAATTTATACATACCAAATTGATCAATGCTTCTTAAAAAGCCTATAAGTGTCCTTCCATCTCGAAGCAGGACCAAATGCTTTTCTGGGAAGAGGGGGAAGAAAAAAGGGCTCTTTAAAATGAAACCTGTTAACACCAGTGTGTTTATAGGGAAGCAACAGGAGTAAAGTTAGTAGCATTTGTTTAGCTGCAGCACTCCCTCTTCCAGTGTATCTAAGGTAGACTTCATCTGAAAAGTGTGAGGAGGACCAAGGCACCCTGGGAGTTAGAAGATCAGTGGTCAAAAGAATCAGCATAATATAGCAGGGGAAGGACTGGGCTAGAAGCCACGGAACCTGACTTGGCTGGCTTTACACCTGGATATCTGATATTTAAACTCTCTCACTGTCAGCTTCTACATGTGCAAATTGAGAAATTTAGAAGATCTGTATGACTTTAATTCTAAAATTATTTTCCCCTCAATTTAAAAGATGAGTTTCTATTTCACACTTTGGAATTGGAAGATTTTAAATAAAAACAATGCCTGAGGCATTTAAAATAAGGACTATGAGAATCAGGGGAAACAGGAATTCAGTAATATTTACTGTGAGCTATACAAGCTCAAGCATAGCAAATATTGTGAGGATGGTACAAGACTGGGCAGTGTTTCATTCTGTCCCACATAGGGTCACTAGGAATCAGGGCAGCCTCGATGGCACATGACAATGATGACAACATATGCTTTTCTGAGTCTAAATATACAGTAAAGAATAAGACTTAGAAAGTCACCAACCTTACACATTTTTATTTCTGATAGAAGACAAACAAACAAGAAAATTGCCTATCATGCCTAGTAAAATGAAATAATAAATAAGACAGCAGAATTTTATCACTGGGAAGGGGAAATAACTACAGAAGGAAAGCTGATGAGGGAAAAACTCTTTGAAGAAGTTGACTCTGAGCTATCTTCTGAAGAATGAGAATAAGCCAGTCACTAAAAATGTCAGCAAAATTTCATTCCTTTAATGCCATGTCTAATGTACTTTCTAGAAAAAGAACATGGGAATAAGACAGTGATTCTGCCCTGAAGGAATTTATAGTCTTCCTTGGACTATAATTAAGTACTATAAGAAAGCAATTCTTAATTATATGAGACTTCAGAGAGAAGAACTGTTGTAGCTTGAGAAACGATGAGTGGACTCTGAGAGGTAGACAGCTTTTGCACATGGCAAGAGTGACAGGGAAAGAGCTACGGAGGGAAATCTGTAAATAAGGCAGACAAAAAGAAAGGCTAAAAGTTGAGGGTGTGAAGGAAATAACAAGAGATGAAGTCAGAAAGGGTCCAGGTTGAGTTTGGACTTTACTTCATGGGGAACAAGAAAATGTTTAAGACTGATCAGGCAGAAAAGAGAGAGTAGTTAGGAGGCTACTTCCAGAGTATACCTGAGACATGACAAAGATAGCTGAAGCAAGGTACAGAGAAGAAAGAGGATGAAAAGGCTAAGACTGTGCAGGTAGAAGTGATGGGATCTGTCAACTAACTGGGTTTGTATATGTGGATATATGTGAGAGTGGGAAATTGAAGGGATGAGTTAAAGACAAAGTTTTGAGTCATCATATCAGGGAGGATTATTTACCAAAAGTTGGGAATAAAAGAATCAAGCTTAGAGAGGGTTATTACCTGTTTGTGATTCTGAAGTACTATCAGGACATCTAGGCAGAAAAGTCAGCAGGCAGTTGGAAATGAAGGACTGGAATGCCAAAGAGGTTAGAATTAGAGCAATTTTGGAAAAATCCACAAGGAGGTGATTTTAATTATTAAAGTCCAGGACTCCTAGATATTTAAAGAAAGCAGCAGACTTTCTAAAACCAAGAGACTACCTATTTCAGAGAACAGAAGTTTGAAAGGTAAGAAAATCAGAAAATACCAGTGTGAACAGAATTAAGAATGTAGTAGTAAATGGTGGTAGTTAACAATGCTGCAGAGAGGGAGAGAATTCAGAGGGGTTAAGAGTTGTTGACTGATGACTTTAAAGTTTGTAACTTTAATAGAGTGGTGATGACAAAAAAAAAAAAAAAAGTATACAAAAAACCCCCAATAGATTGCAGGGGTAATAGAGGTGTCCTATCACACACAAAAAAAACACCCCAACTGAAACCCAAAATTGTTGTTGAGTTGATTCTGACTCTTAAAAACCCTATAGGACAGAGTAGAACTTCCTCTTAGGGTATCCCAGGCTGTAATCTTTACAGGAGCAGACTGCCTCATCTTTCTCCCATGGAGCATTTGGTGGGTTTGAACCACCTACCTTTGGGTTAGCAGCTGACAGGTTAATCACTATGCCACCAAGGTTCTTTGTGGTCTATCACAGGTAGTCAAAGTACAGATGACTACAGAGGGTTGGGAGTGAAGATACGATAAAAGTACAGATGACTACAGAGGGTTGGGAGTGAAGATACGATAAAAGGGACAAGAGCTTGATGGAGAGATGCAGCTGAGGAAAACACTGAGGATGGACAGGACACAGACGAAGGGCACAATTCAGGAGGACAAAGAGATGTTCTTGTTAGGAGCCACTGACTGGGCTCCGATTCATAGCAACCCTGAGCGCAACAGAACAGAACACTGCCTGGTCATGCATCATCCTCACAATCCTTGCTATACCTGAGCCCATTGTTGCAGCCACTGACAATCCGTCTCACTGAGGACATTAATGGATATTAATGGAATAAGGTTCCAGAAGCAGTGGCAGGATAGAATAAATATATGCATAAACAGAAAAGAATACTACCTATTCAAATGAGTGGATGGGTAAAGATACAGAAAGACTAAAGAAAGAAGAGAAAAGTGTGTGTGAGATTTTGAGGTAGGGCAGGCACACATACTAAATGGCTTCAAACTTCTAGGTAAAGGGTCCTGATAAATGTTGTGGTAGTTATGTTTGTGTGTCAACTTGGCTGGGCCTGGTTGAGTGGCTGGGCAGCTGGTGGTAGTTAATCCCCATGAGAAGACCGGCAATCAACTCCATGGTGGGATCTACCACAAGTGGCTGGGTAGCTGCCTTTGGGATGTAGTCTGCTTCCTGTATTTAAGACGACGACTTGGCAATGGTCTCTAGTCTATGGCACGCTTGGACCCTACATGTAGCCGTGTCGTTGCTCAGCAGCCTGCCATGTTCTGCCGACCTTGGGACTTACAATGGACTTAAGTTAATGGCCTGCCATGTGCTTTGGTAACATCAGGACTGTGCCTTTTTACTTGTCAACCTTGGGGCTTCTCAGCCTCAGCAGCCTGCAGCTGTCTGAGTGAAGAAATGCCTCTAGCTCCAGTGGGCCAGGAGCAGGAGGCAGAGCTGGACCCCAAGGTTGAGGGGCTTTCACCCAGCCCCTAGAGCCTGGCACTTTGAACTTGGACTTAAAGCCTCCAAATTGTAGGAATAAACTCCTGTTTGTCAAGGCCATCCCATTTGTGGTATATTTCTTGTCAGAGCGGCACTAGGTAATCAGAACAAATGTATAGAGACCAAAGTTTAGCCTGAGGTTACTAGGGGTGGGAAGAAGAGGGTAAGGGAGAGACACTATTTACAAAACACTGAGTTTCTGTTTATAATGATGGAAAACCTAGCAATGGATATTGGTGATGGGTGCACAACATGATTAATACATATAATTGATGTCACTAAACTGTATGACATGGGATTGCTATGAGTCAACACAACAACAGGTTGATGAAAATGAACATGAAAAATATTAGATACCTGAGAACAAAAAATGATTTTTAGAAAAATAGCAGGACATCCTGTTATGGGGCTCAAATAATTTAGATACATAACAAAGGACATGAGGGGAAAAGGGCATCCTCATAAACAAAACAAAACATTTCATTACACATTAAAGACAGACTTGCAGAGTGGTTGTTCATTTATAGATCTGGTCCAACTTACACTACATTTCCCTTCAAAAGCAATATAATTAATTTGGATTTAAAATATCATCACAGACAACCATAAAGGAAATTTAATCATAGACTCATTCTAATTTGCATATTGTTGACTACTGACAATACAGATTGCTGCAACTTGTTTGGAATTGTATATAAACCATCTTGCAGCAATTACAAGTTAAATCACACGATTAAAATATAAAACACGTTCTTTGAAAAATAACGCTAAGAAAACATTTTAGAAAAAGGAAAGAAAGGGCAATTTAAAGTAGCTTCTCTTACTTTTGTACAGGACTGAGCTCCCATTGAGGACAGTTAGTAGGAGTAAGTAGGTCTTAGTAAAAGAAGAAGAAAATTGTCTAACAGGAAAAAAAAGCAGTTTGAAGTGACTCAGCTTTTCCCAGCATGTCAACAGCATGTCCGCACCGGTCTCTACTACGATAACCTGAAAGTACTTAAGACTTTTACGGTAAAAGAAGAATGCAAACAGCTACATCGAATAAAGCCTCCGTTTAACTGCCAATTAAGTCCAATTGGCGTTGTTTTAGTATTTCTGTTTCTTGATGGATCCTTTCTCTAAGTATTCTCAGCCATCTTTAGGTGACCTGGTACTTCAAATTTTTCCTGGTAGGAGACAGTGGGAGGGGAAGAATTATGCAGACACTTCTGTACTCGGGCCTCGGCTGCCCAGTTCCTCAGAAGCAGAAATGAATTCCACAGCCCAGGGACTGGCGGAGGCTGCGGGGAGCATAATAGAGGTAGTAGCATGGTTTGTGAGTTATCATGAGGTGTGTACCTTGGTTATAGAGAATGTCAAGGCGGAACACCCAGAACTGAGTTCAAAAGAAAGTGCCCCCAGGCCCGGACTCACTCTATAAGCGCGTTCTAAAGAGTCGCCCTCCCCGGAGGAAAGGTCTCATCCCAGACTTCACCAGGAGAAGATGAGCTACTTACTGTCAATGTCTTCGATGAGGCTGGCGGTACCGGGCATATAGTTCATTTTGAGCTGAAATAAGTTTGCAGCGTACAGCGGCAATGGGCCAGCGTGTCCAACACCTCTCGACTCTTACCGCAACCACCGCCTCGGCGGTGGACAGGAATCCCTCCGGGGACCACACTCTTGCCCCGGCTTTCAGCAGCCGGGGCCTGCCGGAAACGCCTCCATATTACTCCGCCCACTTCCGGCATCACGTGCCCGTTCTCAGGAAGAGGCGGGACCGTTTTGTGATCCCGGGACATCATTTCCCCGTCCCTACGGAGAGGAAGAGGCGTCTAAGTGGAATAAAAAGTGGGAAATTGTGTTTTCCCTTCTAAGGAACACAGTGCCTCCTCTTTCCTTTCTGCTTCCAAGACACCAGAGTCGCGGACATCCGTCCCTCTACTCTCAGACTTGAAAGCGAGCGGGGTGGGACCTGGGCCGGGATTGGCTGTTGTCGTCTTACTCCCCCTTCACTGCTCTCCATTCACGTTCCCTGGCACGCGCCTGCGCAAGGGGCCGATCGTGGGGGGCGGGAAGCGTTTCGGGGTAGTAGAGCCCATGTCGGCCCTGAGGCGCTCGGGCTACGGCCCCGGTGACTGTCCGCCTTATGGCCGCTACTACGGGCCTGGGGGTGGAGATGTGCCCGTGCACCCGCCTCCGCCCTTATATCCTCCTCGCTCTGAACCTCCTCAGCCTCCCATTTCCTGGCGGGTACGCGGGGGCGGCCCGGCTGAGACCACCTGGCAGGTAGAAGGAGGAGGCGATGGCTACTATCCTTCAGGGGGCGCCTGGCCCGAGCCGAGTCGAGCTGGAGGAAGCCACCAGGTAAGCTTTGCACCATCTGTCCCTGGGGTCCGGTAGGAGGGTCTTTGCAGCTGAGTATTGTTTGAGGGTAGATAAACCTCTAGAGTTCGTTTTGGATCGGTTTCTTACTTGTTTTGCTTTTGGAGGATTGGAGAGACTGAAACTGGGGTCATGGTTTAGGGCATATGCTTGTGTTGTTTGCCTTTCCCTTTTCTGCTTCCACCATAATAAATGTGTCTATACCCGTTAAAAAGGAAGAAAGATCTTGCGCTGCCTGCTAAGCTCAGGGGTCTGTCGCGTGAAATCCGGTTGGGTTGGATTGGCCCGGCTCTGCTGTAACAATTTATCCTGCGTGGCTCGGCAGGCCGGCTCTCCTCACGATGGGAAGTGGCTGCAGCCCCCGCTGTCACTCAGCAGCCCCTCCCGTAAGGAAGGAACATGAAAGAGGGGGAGGGATCTGGGCGTTTAGCACTTTGCCCTCCTGTTTTGCAGAATATCGAATAATGAATAACCAGTGTTGTAAGCCACCTTTGCATGCGTTTTATTTAATCTTCATGGCGACTGCGAGGTAAATGTTACTACAGCATCCCTATTTAACGAATAAGGAACGGCACACTCTGAGAGCCACTTGCTTACCGATTATGTACTCCGTATTCCTGCTGGAAATAGCCATCTGTTTTGTTACAGTATCAGTGTTCTTAGGAGGAGGTTATCGTAATACTGTGATGGTACACTTCTCTTTTCCTTCAAGTAACTATAACATCCTCAGTTGATGAAAATGTGATAGTGAAATCCTCATACATTGCTGATGAGGATGTAAAATGGTACAATCTCTTTGGAAACAGTTTGACAGTTCCTCAAAAAGTTAAATACAGAATTACCATATTACCCAGCAACTCTGTTTCTAGTTATATACCCAAAAGAAATGAAAACATATATCCTACAAAACCTTGGAAGCTTTGGTGGCCTAGTGCCTAAGGCATTTGACTGCTAATCAGAAGGCTAGTGGTTCAAACCCACCAGCCACTTTTGGGAAGAAAGATTGGGCAATCTACTTCTGTAGAGATACCACCTGGGAAAACCAAGGAGGGGTCTCTATGAGTCAGTGAAGTTTTTTTTTGTTTTTTTTTTAAAAAAAACCTTGTACAGAAATGTTCACAGCAGCGTTATTCCTAATAGGCAAAAGGTGTAAATAACCCAAATGTCTATCAACTGATGGATGTATGGATAAACAAAATACAATATATTCCTACCGTGAAATATTATTGAGCCATAAAAAGAAATGAAGGTATGTGCTACAACATGGATGAACCTTGAAAGCATTCTAAGTGAATGAAGCCAGTCACATACTGTGTGATGTGTTATATGATTCCATTTGTATGAAATGACTTGAAGCGGCAAATTCAGAGAGAAAGAGTAGAGGGTGCCAAGGGCTAGAGAGAGGGGTGTATGGGGAATAACTGCTGATGAGTACTGGGTTTCTTTGGTGGGGGAGAAATGAAAATGTAGTAAAGTGAGATAGTGGTGAGAGTTGCACAACTCTGATTAAAAACCAATGATTTGTACATATTAAAAGGAAGATTTTATGGTATGTGAATTTTACCTCAATAAAATAATTATTGCATGACAAAAAACATGTAGTGAGAGGTTAATTGCAAAGGAGTCCTCATTTTCTCTGGCTAAATCTGGGTAAGTGGGCTGTGGAACTTTAATCCCATTGTTGTTAGGTGCTATTGGGTCCTGTTGTAGAGTGATGAAATACTGACTAAAAACCAGACCAAAGATCATTTGAAGATCAAGAGTAGAGGACCACTGAACTGAGGACTGCTTATTGGGCTTGCTATATGTATGTTCTGGTTACCTAGTGCTGCTCTGACAAGAAAATACCACAAATGGGATGGCTTTAACAAACAGGAGTTTATCTCCTACAGTTTGGTGAGGCTTTAAGTCCAAGTTCAGATTGCCAGGCTCTAGGGGCTGGGTGAAAGCCCTTCAACCTTGGGCTGCAGCTCTGCCTCCCACTCTGGCCCACTGAAGCTAGAGGCTTTTTTTCATTCAGACAGCCTCTGGCTGCTGCGACTGACAAGCCCAAGGTTGACAGGTAAAAAGGCACAGTCCCAATGTTACCAAACCACACGGCAGGCCATTAATTCAAGTCCACTGGAAGTCCTAAGGTTGGCAGAGCGTGGCAGGCTGCTTGTTGTACGACGACGTGGCTATATGTAGGGTTCAAGCGTGCCATAAGCTAGAGACCGTTCTCAAGGGCTTCTCCATAATATATACAGGAAGCAGACCACATCCCTAAGGCAATAGTCAGTACTCAGCTGCTCACAGTAGATTCCACCGTGGAGTTGATCACCAGTCAACATGGGGAATATTACATCTAGCTGCCCGTCACTCAACCAGCCCCAGCCGAGTTGACATAAAACTTAATTGCCACACTATATTACATAAAAGTTTGTTTTCTGGTGGTAGGGTTAGGAAAGTGTTGGATAGACTAGGGAAGCCAGGATTTTAACATTTATGGGGAGCTGTCAGGTATGGTTAGAGTATGTGTACTTAGGGTAGGTGGTAGTGCTGGAGTACTTGGAGATAAAGTTGAAAAAAGTATAATGGGCATTTGTGAGCCATTTAAAAAGTTTAGACTTCATCTTTCAGATTGATAATTCTGAAACTTAAAGTATAAAAGGATCATTTGTTCCAAAGCAATAATACAAAAGATATGGATGTTGTCATGGTTATTTCAAGTATTTTTTCCCAAAATTCATTGTTTGCTTTTAACTTTTTTGTGCTTTTTCACATATAAATTCTACATTTTTGAGCACCGAAACCTGAGAGCTGGAACTTGATGGGACTGCTGTGTTTTTCTGGGTCTTGTGAGTTTTCTGCCTTTGATAGGGTACAGTTTTACCATTTTTCTATTGCTTATTTTAGTGGAAAATATTTGAGTTTTTCTTCTCTGACATTTTTCTGCCTTGTAGAGATCTGGCTTTCACCATTTTTAACTGTACATCTATTCCACACTTGTCTCCTGTCTCAGTAGCTAACATTTCACATTTATGACAATAGTAAAAAATATATTTTCTGACTTTTTTTGCTCATTAACTACATATGTCTGGCAGTGATGAACACTGAGGTGAGAATAATACTGGCAGTGATGGTTAAGGTTATGTGTTCGCTTAGATGGGCCATAATTCTCAGTGTTTTGGCAGTTAAATAATGATATAATATGGTAGTTATGTAATGATGTAGTCATCTTTCATTTTGTGATCTGATGTTGGATATGCTTTATCTCTTCCATTTTCACAAAGATCATAACAATCTGGTCTTTGCAACCTAACCATGTTGATAACTGAGGCGTGGGTATAAACTCAAATCTGTTAAACTTAAAACAACAATAACAGCAAAAAAAAAAAAGTATAGGAATTTTATAAAACTTTGTTATTCAAAAAGTGTGGTCCATGGATCAGAAGTGTCAGTATTACTCCCACTCCAGATCTACGGAATCAGAATCTGTATTTTGATAAAATCTCCAGGTGACTCATACATGTTAAGGTTTGAGAAGCACTGCTCTGTAGAATTTAATTTATTGAGAAGATATTACTCTGTACCATGGCAAAGACTTGACTATATTAACATATTTCCTTGTGGCAGGGAAAAAATTGGAAGTCTGATTCTCTCCTTGTTTTTTGTTTTTTAAAGAATAAACCTTTTTTTCATTATCTGATAACTTGTACTGTAGGTTGATCCCTAAACTAGCAGCATCTGTGTTATCTAGGACTTTGTTGGATATGCTTTATCTCTCAGGCCCTGTTCCAGACCTTCTGAATAAGAATGTACATTTTAAAGTTTTCCTCTGTATATATATGTGGCGTTGTTGTTGTTATGTGCCGTCGAGTCGACCCGACTCATAGCGACCCCTCCTTGGGTTTCTGAGGCAGTATCACTACGGAAGTAGATTGCCCCATCTTCCTTCCGAGGAGTGGCTGG